TTCCTCATGGGGAACTGATCGATGACCTCCAAAACGGCCTCGACACGCACCGGATAAGGGAAGCGCTCGCTGACCCGTAGGTTCTTCTTTATAACCAGCATGGTGAACTTTTGCTCCTGACATGATTGGTGTTCAACACAAATCAGAAACACATCAACTAGTAAACCACCAAGAAGCATTTCAGTTTAAAAAAGAATTAAAAAGGCAATAACTTTTTTATATGTTGCCAAGAGTTTGAAATGAATCACACAGTTTATGGCACACTGGTTACTTGGCTGGTAAGCTCCAGGTAGTGCAGCAGTTTGGTAACCGTGTCGGGGTCCAGGTTCTCGACTGTGGCATCTCCTTGAAAAGTTGTTTTCTGGATCCGTCCCTCCATCATAGCATTCTGAATGATAGTTACAATGTACGTATCTCTTTCTGCTAAATGGCAGTTCAGGCCTTTCTGAGTAAGGCAGAGAAAGAAACAATCAAATAAAACAAGTAAAAATTGATGGATAAGCAGCTAGTTTAAATTTTTTTTTAAATCTGAAAAAAGAGTAAATAATGTGTATGTATCAGAATAAATTGCAGAGAAGTACTTGCTCCATTTCTTCTAGCTGTTTCTCCATCATACGAAGATATTGGTCACTGTGGGATGGAGCTGTTATCACCCACAGACGCTTTTTACCTGCAAGGGAAAATCAGTGACTGTAGGGACATAAGAACAGGAACATCTGCTGGTCAATTAATTCCTCTTACCTGCAAAGTCAGCCAGGAAATCCATCTCTGGAGCCAAGCTTGATGATGACTCTCCAACTTTTCTGTTATATCCATCTTCTCTGCTTTCTTCCAGCCCTAATCCATGTTCAATTCCAGGAGGAAGGTCTGAGTAGTCTCCCCAGTCTCGTACATTTGGGTCCAACAGTTCCTTTGGCTTACCGTCACCGAAGCCCTGCCATGCAGCCAGCAAACCCAGGTTGTTGAGGCTCCACAAAGCTGCAATCAGCAACAGATAGTGTGAGGTAAAAAACTGAGGCATCTTCACTGATGTTGCAAATAAATTGGTCTGGCGATCAGCTGGAACTGCTTAGCAGCTCATAAATCCTCATCTGAAGTAAAAATACATATGTGCAGTGTTGCTTTCACCACCGCTTGTTTAGAAGTGATGTGCAGTTATTTTAAAAAAGGGGGAAAAAAAGTATCCAGTTAATAAAACAATAGCCTGAATCCCAGTTCAACGCTCCACTGAAGGCTTTATGGTGAAAAACAGGTGGATCCAACCTGGAATCTGTAAAGGAAAGGGAAAAGCAAAGACTATCGTGGTGTTAACGTCTCTCTGCAGCAGAGAAACTGACTCGAGAGACACTCCTCTCCTTACACACAGACACACACTCCTGGATCGAATTAAACCCCAGACCCTTTAACAGGAAACTCCTGGAATTTTCTGCAACTTCAAAGCATTTTCTCCCAGAAAACTCTCTCTCCCTCTCTGTCCCACACACTACCATACTATTACACACACACCCCACAAAAAATAGTCATTGTTGCATAATTGGCGCCACACATTGTCTTTGGTTTGAATCTCTTCACCAGATGAAATTTCATTGTATTCAGCATGTTTGATTTACACATATGTCACTATCTGTCAGACAAAAGGATGAACTTTAATCACAAACTTTGTTACCGCACACATGATTTGTGAGAGGTGATTTCCTGGGGTTTTCCCAGGAAAAGGGCAAAGACAGTGAAGGTCATAAACTTTGGGAAGTTCAGGCAGTTCAGACCAAAGCCATTTGTTCAGGAGAGTCAAAGCTTTTAAGTGATGGGAAATGGCAATTACCATAAATAACCAAGACCACACTGCAGATGCCGATGTCTAGAAAAGGTCACACCAGTTCAAAATTGTCAATCTGAGACAAATGTCCTCACAGGGCAAGAGCCTTCTGTCAGGTAAAGGCACTCATCTTTCTCCAACCTCACAAAGCTTAAAAACAACAAAGCTAGATAGCTTACAACCACCTTCCTCTCATTAAAACCTCCAAATCTGACTTGAAATAGCTGCAATTTGAACCTATAAACCCCCAGATCTCTTCAAATGCAAACATAATCACTGAAATGGTGACAGAAATTCTGTTTTGCAGAATATTTAGAGCATTCTTAGTAGTGATCTTAGTAATTATTGTTATGTTCACTAACTGGGCAGTTTTTATTAGGTAAACATTGCTACTACTGGGTTGAACACCTTTTAATTCTTTGTGGTGTAGATTCAACAAGGCGTTGGAGTTTTTTTGGTCCACATTGACATGACTGGCATGCTATTACATGGCCAACAGCTTAAACTGACAGGGTGGATCCATGCTTTTCAGGCTGTTTATGCCAGATTCAGATCCTACCATATGAATGTTCCAGTAGAAATGGAGCCTCATCAGAACAGGTAGTCTTTCCAGTCTTCTGTTGCCTAAATACAGTGATAACCATGTGATGTGACTGGCTGATTAGATATTTGCATTAAAAGAGGTTGAACAGGTTTCCCTAATAAAAGTGACTATAAATGGCTTACTCTAGAATTATTGCCCTTATTCTATAAAACAAGCAAATATTTCATGTTTTGTACGATAAATCAAATGCAATTTTTTATATTATATAAATAAAGTAAGGTAAGGTAAGGTAAGGTAACTTTATTTATACCTAAAGGCAAGGTAAATTTGCTTTACAGAAAAATGACAGCATTTGACATCCCTTTAAAAACACACATACCTAGTAAATATATAAATAAAGTATCCACATAAGTATGAAAACTGCACATTGTTAGTATTTTATATGTAATTTCATTTGTAACAAATCATTAGTGGATCTACTGCACATAGCGAGGAAGTGCAACAGGTAGAATTTTTTGTCAGATGGACTGAAAAACACATGCTTTGAAGAGTTATGACTTTTTAAATATTCTTGCACAAGTTTCTTTGCCTCAAAAATGGAATTTAGTGAGAATAGGGACAAAATAAAGACAATGGAAGAATGCAGGCTGTCAGTGCAATTAGAAGAGCTGTCTGTAGGGTGAAATGAAATACAATGAGAACCAGGTGCAGCCACAATGCATCCCGCTCTGTGGTCCTGATAAAGAGAACCAGATGATCACTGTGTATGAGAAATAGAGGATTTGTTCTGTTTACATGTGCTGTGCTTTAAGTGAATGAATGTGAGAGAAAAGAAGCTAAGAATAGCATAAACAAAGACACATAAAGAAGCTGCTATCTTGTTGTTTAAGTGTCAAAACAGGTCGTGTATCAGTTTTTGTAATAATGATACACAGTTAAAAGGTAAAAACAGTAAGAATTCACCTCCCCGTTAGCACAACAATGTGATTTTTCATAGCAAATACATCATTTAAGAGACAATCATGATGTCAGATTTCATTTCAGACAGTGTACCAGCTTACATTTACCATGATGAGAGATCTTTGGGTTAAGACCAAGAATAACAGAGTGAAAGCCTCCTTCCACTGACTTCACAGCACCATTCATATTACACTTTGCACGAGAACGCTGAATTTCATACAGCTGTGCAGTCTCCAACATACCAAATGAAGCCCAGGTGTTGAGTTTAGTGTTTTATATGTAAGATTACAATGACATGCTAACATAATCAAATGCACAACAGCCTCAGGTCAGTATGAGGTCGCACATGATGACATCACAAGGGGGAGGACACGTATAACATCAGTCTCCAAATCATAAACACAGACAAAAGATTTAAATTTGTACAAATATATTTGTATGCATAGTAAATTGAGATAACTGACCTGCCACGATGAACAAAAAAACTCCAGGGACCCCCAACCTTCTGGTGACCACAAAAAACTTGTTCTAATCTGAATAGAAGAGTATTTTGGAGTCTGGATTGTGAAAAACATTGTCAGCTAGGTTTACTGAAAAGATAAACAACTCAAGGTAAACACCTTAAAAAAGCCCCTCACTAATATTGACCAAATCCTATGAATTGGACCTCTGTGTCTACCTTTGTGACATCATGAATTTTTTGTTTTGCTTATATGATGCCTAGTAGAGCCACAGAGAGGGTCACCTTAAAGCAAGGACATCCTAGTTATTAACAGTGGGCATGCCAAGTATGCAAAGTGCACAGCTGACTTTGTGACTATGTGAGACTGTTACATGTGCACAAATTAATGCACACAATTAAATCAACCTCAGTGCAAGTCTCAGCCCTGAAAGTTGGCCCTAAGTATATTTTTTTTAATCCAGGTCCCCAAGTAAGCATCTGTAGACCCATGCAAAAGTGAATTTTGTAATGTTTACTCCAAATGTAGATGGGGCTTCTCATAGCTCAGAATGAATCTTTCTGGGGTAACCTGAGATATAAGCACATGTGGGTCCTCATACATTGCATTTTTCAGTGCTTTGAAAAAATATCCGACCTCTTCCTGCTTTTTATTTGCAGAAAGGAAGGGGTATATACTTTTTCACAGCACTGAGCATGCATTAATGAAACACAGCTGGCAATAGCCTATTTTTTTTTTTGGCTCAGTGCTACTTTGGGGAGACCAAGAATTCCTCTGTGCAGGAACAAAAAGAATGAGAGTATTGGCTGCGGGCTGCTTTATCCACGAAATGAAAGCAAATGCGAATAGCAACACAAAAACTGTACAGTAAACTCTATGAATCAAGCGGAGCCTCATATTTAGTAAACTGTAGTAGAGCGCGCCTCAGTGGGGCCATGCAGAGTTGCACCTTCAACGTTTTTTTATGCATTTTTCAGGTACATTACAGAAATGTGCTCATTAGTCTTTTCCAGCACATGGAAAGGCTTCACCATAACTTTTCGTCTGACTTAAGGCTGTTAAGGCTGTAAATCTGATGACATATAATATGTGGAAAAGTTATCATAAAGCATAAAAGGAAACGTTGACAAGACAGAGAAACGGCACTGACAGTAACAGCGCAACATGCGCCGCCTGATATCCTCTGACGCATCTCCCGTGGTCCAATCACGTCTCTGTGCCGGCCGCTTCTCCTCACTCCTTCCGGGTCGTCGCAAAGTTCGCCTGTGCTGCACAGAGCCGGGGACTGTCTTCAAAGGTCAGTCGAGTTATCAATCGTTAACCTCTCCACTCTCGCTTTCCACCATACATTTGTTTCGGTTTGCATTTCTGCGAGTGTGCGAGGGGCCTTTTTGACTCACACGTCGCCTACATGTATGAATCAGAACCATATGACTTTGTATGCAAGCTAGCGCGCTTTATGTTAGCTCGGGTTAGCTTCCTTACCCCCCCCGTTATATATTTTGTCACGGGTATAGACAAAAAGAAGCGAGCAGCCTGCCTGGATTGTGAGCGTGTTGTCTCTTGAGTCGCAGGGGAAGCTGTGTGAGAGCTGGCCCGCCTGAAATGCGTTTAATGCACCAGCTTTTATGCTCCAGATTCTTTGAATGACACCGCTGTGTTGTTGTTATTGTAAGGAAGCCATTGATATGTGGTTTTGTTTTACTGGTGACTCACGAGGTGGTGGAAAGGTTAACGGTGCTCAGAGCGGGTTAAGCATAGAACACAAAGCAGCAGACCCAAGCAGCTTGATGATGATGTTGGTGGTTATTTTTATGTATCTTTAGCTAACTGTTAGCTGAAACTCAATGACGTGGTAGTTACAGGTTAAAAAAAACAAACAAACCCTCAACTACTGCCTTTAAATGATCCACAATTAACTTTTATCGACCTTTATTCGTGTTGTTATTTATTTATTAATTCATACACGTAGTTCAGTTTGCGTTTATGTTGCCACGTTTCATTCAGGCCTGTTTAACTTCAGCCTTGGTTTACTGAGGACTGCTCAGCTTTTGTGCTCCAACTGAATGCCTGAAAAATCAATAATAATGATGATAATAATACTACTAAAAATGTCTAGCATGAATATCCAAACAGTGTATGCACATCCAAGGCTGTACACTGAGAGATCCCATTGTTAATGAGCTTCTTAATTATCAGTAAACATCAAATGACTGTTTTTTGTTTATGAAGTTGTACAGTTTGGTTTTCTTGGGTAGTTTTTGAATATTGTTGGTCATATGTGGCCTGTTACATTTTCACTACTGTTTAACTCTAGATTGAGAGCTTAATTCAATAATGAAATAACAATAAATAACTTAATTTAAAATGTTTGCAGGCATATTCATTAATGTGCCTACGCTATGATTGTATGACTGTATTTAGATTAGGGCTGCCACGATTTGTCGACTAGTCACGATTACGTCGACTATCAAAATCGTCGACGACCGATTTAATAGTCAACGCGTCGTTTGAAGCTTTGTAAGATCCCAAAAGACGCAGGAATAAGTAGCAGGATTTAAGAGTGTAATAACGGACTGAAACAGAAGATGGCAGCACTGCATGTACAAGGATGCCAGCTGCCGTTAAACCCCGAAGAAGAAGAAGAAGAAGAAGAAGAAGCAGCTGTGTCCCAGAATTCATAGCGCGGCCCAGCTCAGTTTCCAACAATGGCGGCAGCTAGTTAGTTTTAATATTACTCTTATTATTCTTTCTGGGTCACAAAATAAACGTTTAACATATTTTCAGCCGAGAATGTAGCTGTGTAAACCTCAAATATCGGCTCAGTTTATCAAGACACCACATATTTTCAAAAGCGCTCCGACGTTTTCGGAGACGTCTGTTACCCACTAGCTCGATAGCTAGCCGGGGGCTAGGTCACTAGCGGTGAGAACACCGGACTCCCGGCAAATTGTTTTCAAACCCACCGCTGTCTTTCGCTACTCAGGTTAAATATATATGAGTCACTTAGATAAATTAAAAATGTTGTTGTTTGGCTTTTTTTTTTTTTTTTTTTTTAGTATTTTATTTGTTCCTGAGTAAATCGGTTTGTCTGAGATTAAAGTTATAGTTTTTACACAGCTGAATAAACGTCAAGCAGACAGCTGATTATCAGAAGTGTGAGATGCTGGAGAATATACTCCGTTGTCCTGTTATATTTTAGATAGCAAGGAGTTTATTAAACTTCACCGAAACAATCTGCAAATTTCATTAAAATTGAATAAACTATCATCTTGTCTTTATTTTTAGTTAGCACCTTAAAAGCTTAAAGCTGTAAGCTAATGATAGTTATATAAGAGCAGATGCTGCTGGTGCAATAAGCTGTAGTTTTACGTCCAGTGGATGATGATCTGATTAGTCGACTAATCGCATAAATAATCGGTGACTAGTCGACTATCAAAATAATCGTTTGTGGCAGCCCTAATTTAGATTTAATGATGTATTGATTGCTGTTTATAATTTATCACTTGTGTTTTTTGTGTACTAAGACATTGTTATTAGCTCTTTAAACTTTTTACAAAAAAATTACGAACAGCTCAATTAATAGCATTGATTGCAGTTTACACAGTAACTATATTTTCCACTCACAAAGGTGTAGCAGCAAATAATATGATTTTTTTGCTTGACAAATTACTTGAAATATTGAGGATTCCTCAGTTCATTGAGTCCCTTGAACGCCACTCTCTGCACTAATGATTGGTGCATGTTTTTAACCTTTACTCAAGACATAAAAAGTGGCACAGTAGAGCTTGTAGCCAGTGCGGTCTAGTTTGAACCCTTCTGCACCAGCCTCCTCTCCTAGTTTATCCCAGTCATATTATCTTCTTTTAAAGCAAACATACTACGCCACATATGCTGTTTACTGCCTTTGAATCATTTGGTTTGTTGCAATTAAAATAAGTGATTGTAGTTCTCTGTGGCTTTATTAGTGCACAGTTAGGTTGATATGCGATCAAACAACGCACTCATAATAAGGTGCTGAATTTTAGTGCAGCTATGTGACCTGTTGCATAAACAGTGGTCACTTGCATGTCCTTGATGTGCAAGGGAAGGACAGTTTTCTGTGAAAGGATTTGGCATGTGTGTAGTTGGATTCTAGTTCTGGGATCGAGAAAAATATTCAACATGCTTATTTTTTCCTCTCACTTCAACATAGTTTCATCCTGCAGTTCTTCTTAACCTCTAACCACCCTCCCCTCTCTCTCTTTTCATGTCTCCTCCCAGGAGGGCTGTTGTCTGTCCTCTATAGCTCCTCCTGCAGTGTGAGTGTCAGGTGTGTGTGCGTGCACCATGGCTAGCCTCCTCCGAGTTGTGGCAGCCAGCTGCTCAGCGCCTGTGTTCAGCGGGGTTTCTGCTGTAAAGCTGCAGAGTGGCCGTACCATCAAGTCAACATGTCTGCGTTTTTTTAGGACCCATCAAGCCCTCGGGCGATGTGCTAGTCCAGGTAAGGCACTGCACAGTGAGGAGCGTAAGTTAAAGAATCATTAATGCTATAATCAGTGTGGTGTGACTCTTTGTTTTATTGACTGTCTTCGTAATCCATAAAATGGGCAAGGTGACCCAGGCCTGGAACAGTGTTTTATTGCTAGGTGTAAGCTTTTGTGACCTAGTGTTCCTATATAAGAATAATGCCATGAAATTCACAATTATGTATGATTGGTCATTCTTTAATAGCAGGCTGGGTTTTTCTGCTGTTTCATTGAGACATGTCTTTGAGATATAGGTAGATATTTAACCGCTGATAGCCACAGGAGCAACACCACCTGTAGCATCCATGTCTTTTCTCAGTGTCAGGTGTACAGCATGAGTGTTACAGGTGTCTGCTACGCATTATATAAAACAGATAGAGGGTTATTCAGTTCACCTTAATCACTGTTGTAGCATTCTATTCATTCATTCTTGCATGCTTGTTTTGAAGGTCAGTGTTATGAAATAGTTAATCCAGAGGACAAACTTCAGTCTCATCCAGCAGTTTTTCAGTTTGGAGTTTTGCTTTAGAGTCGGTGTTGCATACTGTTTAAATATCATATAGTGCATAACCCAGTTTCAGGGACATTCTCAGTTTGAAGGCTCTGAGGAAGCAGGTGTGATGACTGTGAAGCCAGTACCAGCTGGTTAGAGGAGCTTTATGTCTGCGTGTGCTGGTTTCCTTTGCTTCATGGTGACATGGGTTGATTTTCTACAGTTCAGCTCGCTCCAGTAACAGCTGGCAGCGTTTATTCTGGACACACAAGTGTCAGATTATGATCTCATGTAGGAGGGGCACACATGCTTACGTGTGATTATGCTTTGACCTCCAGAGAACCTATATACTCACAGCATAACCTGAAAGCATGTGTTTACGTGAGACGGGTTTTGTTCTTTAAAGTGGACAAGATCAGACTTTGCTGCATGTTGTGTATGGTGTTGGCATAACTTGCAAGCAAGCTTACAGACATAACTGACTGTGGGATTAGAGTTAGCAAATGAGCACAGCATGATGCTTCTGACTTCTTTTGTAAAATTGTCAGAGAACTGCTTCAGCACTAATCTAAAAAAATAAAAATCACCGTAATCTTATTTGTAAGTTTTTATCTCAGCCCAATCAATGATTATAATGTCCCTGTATAATAAAAGGCTGGTTTGCCGTACGTCTAAGCATCCCCTCCTTTGAAACAACCCAGGTCTGTCAGCCTCTCAGCATTTCCTCTTGTCCTCATTTCCAAGAAAATCGGCACAGTGTAAACATGTTTATTTAAAAACAACAATCACGTGCCTCTGAGGGTCTGCCCTTTTCAATGTTTCATTCATAGGGGAAGGTGTCGAGGCTGCAGGCTCAGGGTTTCAGTCGTGGAAGCTTTCATTGCTCTCACAGTAACGTAATAAGTTATCTTCAACTCATAAGACTATCTTCACTTGTCTTGTCTCTTGTGTCTGCACCGGGTCTTCCGAGCACGTCTATGTTGCAAGTGTTGTTGATATGTGAAGGGATTAACACGGATCACTTTGATCATCATCATCGATCTATCCGTATGTTTGCAATCGGACTACATTAGTTTAGTTTGTTGAAAATGTCACGTTACATATGCGGTAATTGATTAGGTCTTTAGCAAAAAAAGGTAATCAACAGCCCTTGGTCACTGCTTTTAGTGAATGGATTTATCTGCTTTTGTCTACTCAGCGTGCTTATTCAGAGCATTTTATTTTGGTAGATAGGGTTCTTATATCAGTACTGACCTTTGATTTATAGACCATATTCACATGGTTGGCTCAGAAAAATAAATTCTGAGCCGTCTTGTGCTGCAACGCTTCCTGTAAAAGTGGCCATAGGATGGGTCACTGCAGCAGCAGGAGCAAAAAAGAGTAAAGGTTCATGTGTATGGGTTGAGGAGGCAGCAGGAAGGAACTGCAGTGGAATTTCCCATAGGAGCCAATAAAGCATGCGCCTGCCTGTCACTTGAAAAAGAAAGTATTATAAAAAGACTCTGACGTTTTCAGTTTGTTCTTTCTGTTGTTTTCTTTTCAGTTTCTCTTTTGCTACTAATTTATCCCTTGTTATTCTCTCATATCATACTCCCCTTTTTATGTCACCATTTGAATCAGTAAATGATTTGATTAGTAAATGAGAGACTCAAAATACCTGCAAAACTGATGAATTTACCAGCAGTCCAAGCTGTAGTTTGTGTTTACTGCTAATTTGCAAATGTCACATGAAGAGAAAAATCTTATCAGGAATGCAAACAAAGGCCGTTATTTATATGTTTATGGTAAACTCAGCTAAGTTGTCCTTTCATGTAGTAGTAGCAAAGATCCATAGCATAAGCAAAATGTTGTGGCTTGTTTATTGTCACTATATCTTTCTGCTGTTTTGGAACATGGCATCTTCAGTCGTACAAACCCAGAAACACACTGCACATTTCTACCATCTTTCTTCATTAAGGATTCAATATTTATTTATTTCACCTTAGCTTTTGTAGCTCATTAAAAAATTTCCTTCAGTTTGTGAGTTTCACCAGATCATTTTCCCCTCTCTAGGTATTCCATACAAACAACTCACAGTCGGCGTTCCCAAAGAAATTTTCCAGAATGAACGCAGAGTGGCGCTATCGCCTGCCGGCGTCCAGGCACTCATTAAACAGGGTTTCAATGTTGTTGTGGAGTCCGGAGCTGGAGAGTCTTCCAAGTTCGGTGATGAACAGTACGCCCAGGCTGGAGCAACAATTAAAGACCTCAAAGATGTCTTAGCCTCTGATGTGGTGGTTAAGGTAAGTCTTAAATAAAGAGAGGGTGTGTTGTGTAGAGAGGGAAGAGGAGGCCACAAAAGGCGGTTGAATGAAACCTGTGCCAGAAATGTATCACTATCTGACTGACTGGTTAAGAAGAGGTAATGAAGGATAATAGAAGGAAGTGGGGGAAAGGAAGGAAGTCATAGTTTTGATGATGACAGCAGCTTTTGGCGTGATGTGTGTCTTGTGGTGTAAGTGTAGGAGGATGTGGAGGGATGACAGAGTATGTGAATGCAGGGAAAAAAAACATGTCACTATCCCAAAACAATTAAACTGTCTGTCTTCACGTCAGACATGGTGGTTGAGGATGAGAAAAAGGCAGCGATTCTAAGAAAATGAGAAGCAGCTTCATGCTTTTACAGGTTCTTATTTGATAATCATTTATAATTAAAGGTTTGTTATTTTATAATCTAAACTAATATGAAAGTGGAAAAATGTCAGAGAGAAGTGAAGGTTGCTGTGGATGACTTACTTTAAACACAACCTACTGGATCCTTACTTCCTTGGATACTATACGTACCAGTATGGACCTGAGTTTTAGTACATTGGTCACTCATGAAAGAGCCTTGGTAACTGTAATATACTACTGATGAAACCAGTGGGTGAGTCTGGACTGGAACTGATGGTGTTAACTTCATAGCATAAAAAAAGTCAGAACTAAAAAACACTAAAACTAAAACACTGCACTGTAGTTGGCTGATGTCGAAGAAAAGGTAGAAATATACATATCTATAAAAATATAGGAAACACTTGCAGTACTCTATAGTAGCTTTGATATATACTCTGGGATAAACTGATCTCGATAAGATCTGATCAGTTATTTCTGGTCACACTACGTTCGTTTTGAACTATGTGAGCTTTGTCTGCTTCCAGGTCCGTGCTCCTATTTTCAACCCTGCTCTGGGTGTGCATGAGGTGGATATGATGAAGGATGCATCTACTTTGATCAGCTTCATCTATCCAGCTCAGAACCCTGAGCTGATGGACATGCTGTCCAAGAAGAAAGCAACTGTCCTGGCTATGGACCAGGTGCCCAGAGTCACCATTGCCCAGGGTTACGATGCACTGAGCTCCATGGCAAACATCGCAGGGTATGTTCACGGTGCCTTCAAGGCATGTATTGTTGACTGCTTGCGTCCAGTTGAATGATCTGCTCCTGTCTTCCTGTACTCTTGTCTTATAAACAAAATGTTGAATTACAGACCCAGACCAGAAAAAGGAAAACATTTCTTCAGATGTTTTAGCAACTGCTCAATTTTTCTTTCTTTTTTGCATGTAGCACATCTATATTCATTGTTTTCTTTGTTATGAATTCCCTGTCTTTTCAGGTACAAGGCAGTGGTGCTGGCAGCTAACAGCTTTGGACGGTTTTTCACTGGACAAATTACAGCAGCCGGGAAAGTGCCTCCTGCAAAGGTGTGTAGTCTGAGTCCGTGTACTTTTGGAGGTAGCATTTCTTTTATTTAGAAGGTATGCGTCTGTGAATGTGACTCTGCCAGTTTTAACTTTAAGCATGGGCCATAACTCTGGTCATCCTTAACTAGTATTTGTACGCCTTCTTTAATAGGTGCTCATCATTGGAGGTGGCGTGGCTGGGTTGGCAGCAGCGGGCACCGCCAGAGCCATGGGAGCCATTGTCAGAGGATTTGATACGAGGTTAGAAAAGTTATTGACTGTAAAATATTATTTGTTATTGTTTTTTGTTCACCAGCTAATATAGTCAGTATTATTAATTTAGTGTAGAACTAGCGGCTACAATGGCAACATCTAATATCGCAGTTAATCACAGCGACAAAGGCGTTGTGTCTCCTTTGGCTTTTTCACAATAAAAGCTGTCTTTGGCAGTTGAACACTTTGAAGCAGCAGCAGTAAAAAGCTAAGAGAAAAGTGAAGGAAATGTGCAGTAATGATGTAAAAAATGGGATAAAATTATGACGCATGCCTTCTTTCCTTTGAGTTCCTTATACCTGCTATACATGGAAAATTCAAAGAAAACAAGGGCTTTGTAAATGTAAGGGCCTTCATCCCTTCATATACTATACCGTTCAGTTTTATAAAGTTAATTCTACAGTCATGCTAATTTTCTGTGTGCAGTGAATTTGCTGTCCTATAGATTTTATTTTACAGCAGTTAAAGTCAGCAACCAGATCTCGGACTTGTCTAAGGAGCTTGGAAAGAAAAGCGTCTGGACTTCTTTGAGTTGCTTGAAGAGAAAGAAGTCCAGACGCTTTTCATTCCAAGCTCCTTAGACTACGATGACCTGGATGACTGAAAACAATCACAGACAGATCTCTGACTATTTGCAGACTTTGTAGACCTAACAGATAAAGTCAAAATTAAAGCCACTATTAAGCCAGATTCAGTCTGCAATCTGTCTGCGATTGATTGGGGTCCAGCTGGCATACTCTGTTTGTGATAATATAGTGATTAGCTGTGATAAATTCAGTCACAACCTCATCAATAATGGGGACGTAGTTGGTGCAGTTGGTAACCATCTGAGTCACGTTCCCTACTGCAAAAACATGCCAACGATTGCATCTGAGAATGGCTGAGTTGTGCTCATTAAGGGTGTTGTATGCTTAACGTCTGGTTGACCAGCTTGTCGCCACAGCTACTGCACAAAATTCAGTGCAATCACTAGACAACCACCAATTTTGTTTTTCCTAGTCACAAGGTTGGCTTCCTATTTTTACTCTAGTGTGACTGAGACATTAACACATGTTATTGCTGTAACACAGTATTCACAGTGTGTTTCTCTTCAAGTTTTATGGACATACAATGTTTCTCATATTGTACCACATAATCATTTTTAGAAGTGATTATTCTTCTGATATTTTCATGATTATTGTTTTTCTTTATTGAATGTAGTGCTTGTTATCTCTCATATCCCAACTTGATATCTTGATTTGGGTGACAGTTACTTTATTTTCATGCACAAAGTGGAAAATAAAGTTCTCTGATTTCAGAAGGCAGAACTGCTAAATGTTTGGGACTTTTTCCTTTAACAGAGCACAGGAAGGATGGTATTTCCTTCAGTAAATGGTTACCAAATAGTTTTCCATTAAATAATATATTAATCTTTGCAGTTTTTATCACACGTGTAATGTGCTCTCATCTGAGATTTCGAAATTACTAGTAACCTCTCATTTTCCTCTCTCCTAGAGCTGCAGCTTTGGAGCAGTTTAAATCTCTGGGTGCAGAACCACTGGAGGTGGACATTAAGGAGTCAGGAGAAGGCCAGGGAGGCTACGCCAAGGAAATGTCTAAGGAGTTTATAGAGGCAGAGATGAAGCTGTTTGCTAAGCAGTGTCAGGACGTGGACATTGTCATCAGCACTGCTCTTATCCCTGGTATGCAGAGAAGCGCAGTGTCAGGCAGAATAAGAATGTTGGCTGTGGCCACGAGCCCTGTCCTCAGCATCAAGGTTGCATAAAGAGATTTCTCTCCATTTGAAATAGGATTTGAGATGTGTATTCTCGTCTCAACTCTTAGAAAAGTGCCCATTAGCTCCAATAATCTTTTGGTTTTAACAATTTTTAAATGTAGTGTGGGCACAGTAAGCTTAACTGCAGTGACTATGAGTTACTTGCTGGGTTATACTTTGAGATTGAGGTTCCATTGAGGCTGATGTGATATGATACTTTGTAAATGTGGGCACATTTTAATCATCTTTCCAGTGATGCATTAATAGCCTAGTCTTTCTGTTTTAACAATGCAGGTAGGCGGGCACCCATCCTAATCACCAAGCCAATGGTAGAAAGTATGAAAGATGGCTCGGTGGTGGTGGACCTGGCTGCTGAGGCAGGTGGAAACATTGAAACCACAGAACCTGGAGAGCTGTCTGTATACAAGGTCAGTGCATACACTCTTCAGACGTTCTCACACTTAAACAAAAGGAAGTTTTTGTTTGGTTTTCTTTAATTGATTGGCTTAGTTTAATTTTTTTAAATATTAATTTTTTTGTTACAGGGCGTGACCCATGTTGGCTACACAGACCTACCCAGCCGTTTACCAACTCAGTCCAGCACTTTGTATTCCAACAACATCACCAAGTTGATCCGGGCGATCAGCCCTGACAAGGAGAACTTTTACTTTAATGTCAAGGACGAGTTCGACTATGGGACCATGGATCACGTTGTCAGAGGATCTGTTGTCATGGAGGTATGAGGTCTTGTGCAGTCCAAAGCCAAACGTGCTGGTATCGCCAATGTGATCTTTGGCTGGGTGGACATTTTCTGCCTTTTCTCTGGCTGTCCTTACCTAATATTTTCTAGCTGTTCTTTACTGGTCCTTTCCATGCATCCATCCATCTGCACATGTTGTAGGATCATGTCTCAGTCACTAGATGTCACTCTTAGCATGCATTCTTCTTGCATCATAGTCTCTATAGAGCTGCAAATGAAGCAGTGTCCTCTCATTACACCAAACCCCAAGGCAAATTAAATCTTTATGCCACATGATATACTCTAATTTCTATGTTATTTAAATATTGCAGTCAGAGGTTCTCATTTTTGCTTTGTCTAATGATTTACAAGCAACGCTACCATCAAGTTTATTTTTCACCTCCTGTTTATGGAATTCTTCTAAGAATTTTAGGTTAAGCAAAGTTAATGCAATAATCAGCTGAAATATTGACTACAATATGGATGTCCGTATGCAAACCACACTACAGCTGCTGCAGATTTCTTCAATCCATGTTTTTTAGCACAGGAAAAGAGAGATAAGAGATTATTTTGCTTATATTAGTCTGTAATCTTATTCACTTCTTCAAAAGAGCAGATTTCAGAGATGAATTAACTCATATAGTAATGGTCTTACAAATGCTGCTGAAACACAGCAATTTTTTATTGTACCTGTCCATTAGCTTGCCTCATTGATCTGAACAGTTAAAAGGGTAAAGATTGACCATTCGTGAGGGGGGTCAGGGTAGAGCTGCTATCCCTCCACATCGAAAGGAGTCAGTTAAGCTGGCCTTGGGCATCTTACTGGGATGCCTCCTGTTATCACCATCAGTGAGGTCTTTGCTTGGACTGCTTTCATGATAAGTGTCATATATTAAATTCATAACTTTGCACCGTGTTTTTTTTGTTGTTGTTTTTTTTAATCAGACAAAGATCATCACCAGCTGAGCCATAAAAATGGTTTGCTCTTTTTGTTTCTCTATTTGTCACCTCCAGAAAGGAAAGAACCTGTTCCCCGCTCCTCAGCCTCTCAACGTGCCCGTCGCAGCGCCTCCTAAAACGAAGAGCGTCCAGGAACTGGAGGCAGAGAAGGCTGCACAGATTTCCCCTTTCAGGGCCACACTCACCAGCGCTGGGGTTTACACTGGAGGTTGGTTGTTGCAGATAACTGTGGGTGTACCATTAAATTTAGATTTAGGGTGGAGTAATTCAACTAAAGTGTTCTTTAACACAGTTTACTCTCATATATTTTAACTGTCATCAAAGGGTCTTAGGGGAGGTCGAGGTCTTTCAGCTTTTTGTTAACAGTTGGAATGTGTACAGGAGGCGAGAAGTGACAGAGGCAGGTTACAGATGCACACACCGGCACCCTGTTAGTGTCAGGAAGTGTGCATTGTAAAAACAGCATCACGCTGAGTGTTGGTTTGAAGTAGAGCTGTGGTGAGGTGTTCCTATGGTGCCTCTGTGTCAGTGCAGCACATGTAGTGGATGCGGTTCACACATTGTTTAGGTGCTTGAGTAGTTTCCTACTTAACACCAACACACAACTACTGATGTTAGCTCCTCTTAATCAGTGTGGACTGCCTGTAAATAGCCATTTATCTGCAGCCATTTAGATCATCATGGATGTGCATTCAGTGTGTAAAAGAATAGTCGCCAAAGTAATAAAATAAACTTGTCTGCTAAAGTGAAGGGAATTAGGACAACATGGGTGGTCAAGTGCCCACCACATATGCGCCCTTTATTTTTCCAGTTACGTATATTTGAGATTAAAATGAAGACAGAACTGTTTTCTTAGACTTCAGCTCCAACATAAACCAGTCCTGACAGTTTCAGCTCCTTCTATAGAATATTCCAGGAAAAAGAGCCAGCACATTTAAAACACTTTCTCCACCTAATTCTGTGAATAATAAATAGGAGCTTCTCAGTAGGCATACATTTTGCATTTCACTCTTAATGTGTCCTTCAGCTGTGCAGTCAGAGCTACTCTACTTCTTTTATTTCCTTAACTTCTCTTCTCTCTGTACCAGGCATCGCCACCCTGCTTGGTCTGGGCCTGTCAGCTCCCAACGCTGCCTTCACTCAGATAGTCACCACCTTTGGTCTGGCTGGCATCGTGGGATACCACACAGTGTGGGGAGTCACTCCTGCTTTGCACTCTCCTCTCATGTCTGTCACCAACGCCATCTCAGGTCAGTTATTTGCAATGTGTCTCATTACAGTTTGTGAGTTAAACTTCCCATAACGGAAGTCATTTTTCTGTCTAGTATGAATGAAGTCATCGTTTCTCCCCATCTGTGTAAGCACAAATCACAGATCCACACAGTGCCTGATTTATAGCCGCGTGATACACATTTATCACGTTTACATTTCTAAGAATAATTGTAATTACAGACATGAATATTGATGTTTCCTTATTCAGTCTGAATCACACGAACTGGTAATTTTATGCACTTCTTGACTGGACGCTGGATGTTTTAACTAATAAAAAAAGAACTTTTTTGAAAGTTTGACTTTAAGCTGTTTAACCAAAATTATTAATCATGTGTACTCACAAGTGTCATTAATCCCCACTGACACCCGTATATCTTTACTGTCCAGCAGAGTAGAATTTACTGAAACACAACATCCTCTACCTCGTGGTATATAGATATAGAATAGCAATACATTAATTAAAAAAAAAATAATAATACATATATATATATATATATATATATACATATAAAAGCATTAACCTTAATCTTTGATCGATCACACCCAGCTGGCTGCTGTAACCCTGCTGTTGCCTTTTTGCCCTTCGTTCTAAAACTTTCAGGATCGAGTTCTTATTGCGGCTGCTGCTTAACACAGAAGGGTTAAGAGGTTAGAGAGGTAAATGGTACGTGTGTGTTCTCACAGCTTTGATCACTCCACAGCTACACACTGAGGTAGGAAGGAGGTAGGAAGTAACACGCCGTTGGTGATCTCTGAGGGTCAGGGAAGTCTTTTGCTCGTTTACTCGTGTGCACAGCCGGACATCAGAGCTCGCCTGCAGAGCCAAGCAGTGTAATATCTAAGAGATAGTTTTCACTTTCTTTGAAATTTTATTAGCGACACCTATATATCATTTACCCTTCTGTGAAGTTTGTCCAGTGCTGTCTTAAATGAGATGGCTCGAAAAGGCACATGGGGTTCATGGGGTTCGTCGCTTAATATTGGTAGAACTTGATAGATTTCCCGAAACGTTTTTTTGTTTTTTGTTTTTCTTTCCATCTTGTCTGCTCCCTTCACCTCCTTTCCCCTCTCACCTTCCTCTTTGTCCAGGTATTTTTTTCCTCTCATATTTGGCAGGGACTCACTGGCTTTTTTAAAAACCTCTGTCACTGACTGTGGTTATGGAAACAGTGAAACCTGCAGAATTGTTGTTGTTGTGCCAGGCATCATAAAGACACACACACACAATAACTTACAGACATTAGGGAATCATGTTGGAATTTAGGGTTGCAATGAGGGACAGTTTTATTCTTTTCAGGACATTATTGTGTTACAGCCAGTAGTGACTCCGACTGGTGGGTCATCTTAGATTCTTCAGATACTGGTTTCACATCCAGTGGCTCATTGAAATGTATCTTCATATCTGGTGACTTATAATAAGGCTTTAATCTACTTGAGAGCCCTGATTTACTGCCTGAAACCTAATGTTTGATACATAGACACACACACAGGGCGTTAGGCCACCCAGTGCAGACATCTGTTGATACCTTACAGTTTGCATGTGTCCACTGATGCCTATTGGCTTGCTTTTGGGCTTATCCGTTCATTAAGTTGGACAGGAATGTCTTTGATCTCCACCTACAAGATGTAACTGCATCTGTTTTCTTTTCTTTAAAAAAGAAAAAATCAAATTCTCATTTTCCCCCCTTTTTCCATTGTTAGTGACTAGTTGCAAGGAGTTAACTAGTTATTTGCTGTCCTCCTAGTGACTGATCAGTTTATTCTGTAGGTCCAGTTTAGTTTTATTTATTTAGAAGTATTTCAGAACAATTAGCTCAAGGTGCTTTCTATATTAGAGAGAAAACCCCAGCAGTCACATGCACAAGCCCTTGGAGATGGTGGGAATGAAGAACTCCCTTTTAATAGGAAATCTCCAACCAAAACAGGCCTAATGGCACTTTTATCCTCGCTGTTAACCCCATCTTGTTTGTTTCTCCTGTGAATACTGCAGCAGCGGCTTGTGTGTCATTGGCGAGCATAAAAAGACGTCGGTTTTATCATAACAGTGGCACACAAGGCGACCAACATGGCGGGTATACTGGAGTCTTAAGGAGGGGCACATTCTTGCCATGACTAATTACAGCATGGACTTTTTTTTTTATTGTGCAGCTCAGTTCCTGTTGACAAGTGGCAACATTGCTTTTGTTTGTTTTTTTGTTTTGGTTTTTTCAGTCAGGTTGCATTTGCACACATTATTCATTGATCAGGAGCAGAAAGAAGTAAAGACCGTAGTGCCCTAATGTAACTCTTTGTTGAGTCGTCAAGGCTTCTAACATCAACATATATATGTTGACATTAGCTGTAGGTAAAACAAAAACAACACACACAAAAAACCTCCCCTGAGAAAATGCAAAAAAAATCCCATTCAGATTACGTTTAGGAAGTGGGCCCACCTGGTAATTTTATTTAACCATTTAACCATAACAGATACCCATCTATATGGCAAACAAAAGGACAATAAACATTAAAATGAGTATGTGACCTAAAAAAAAAAGTAGAAAGAGGGAAGGAAACTTGAAGAATAAGCTTGAAATAATCAAGGCCATGCTTAATACGCTGCAACTTAAAAGCTAAAAGTTTGTTTGTTATCAAATTTAAAGCAAAGTTGGAATTCTAAGGACATTTTTAGATATTAAAAAAAGAAAATACAGTTAAAAAAGGCTGTTAGTTAAAAGAGGTGAAAGCCAAAGAAAAATGTAACACACCTACTGGACGTATATACTTGCATCTCAAGAAATTTGCATGTGGTATAAAAAAGTTTAAAACTATTTGGTTGTTAAATTTAAATAGTACCAACTTCAATGTATTATGTAACTGTTGCTTGTTAAAACCTCAGTATTCAAATTTGACTTGCTTACATTGTATTAGTATCTGTCGGTCTAGTTCAGCACACGCAACCACATTCATGCAGAAGACCGCTGACTTGACAGATGATTGTTATCAACGACCAGTGTCGAGGCTGGCTGTTTGCAGAATGCTGTAGTAAGCAAATGAATGGAAAACTGACTGGATCAGCGTGGTTGGAAAATGTGGACAGTTACAGGGATCATCACTAGGTTACATACGTAAATACAGAACATGGATTCAGTTTGTGTGAGATGTATACAGAGTGCATACGGTCACTTTGTTCATGAGAGTGTAACATTAATCATTATTAAAAGAAGATTGATTAGTGGCACCCTGACTCATTTTTTGCTGGTTTCTGTGGGGTGATTAAAAACCAACTTTAAAGTATTAATGCTCCAGGTTATCCTGCAACAGTGGTTTCTATTTGCGACAGCTAATTTAAAATGAGGTTGTATTTACATAAATACAAGTGGCGAAAGAGTGTTTGGCAGCTTTAAAAGTTGAAGCCGACATACAGGCGTGTTTATAAAGCTGCATTTTGTCTGAGAAAAAAGGAGGTCAGACTTCCTTTTTTCCTCATTTGAAAGTCCAATCTAACACTGTTGACTTCAAACACACAAACACACACACTACCTGTTAGTCAACCAAAATAGCACACAGTCACAAGCCCATGTGAATGCAGGCTCCAATGGTAGTTGTGCATTGCATCCTACTGCCTGTAAATCATTACAGGACTGATGTTATCGAGGTTTCCTGAGTCTCTTTTGGTAAAAACGCACACACTCTTTTCCTTTCCATCCATTTTTTCTATCTCCGTATCTTTTTCCTATCTGGAAAACAAACAGTATTCCGAGGAAACTGTCTGATTAAACCAAATCTAATAAGTGTCAAGATTAACTTTTTATTTTTTCGACAACTGAATTCATGTTTTGAAGTTCTGTGCTGTTTTTGTGACATCTTCACCAAATTTTTGAACCCCCCCCCCCCCCCCCCCCCCCCACTGTATTATGTGTATTATGAAAGCGTAGGTTCATGAATACTGAAATGTCTGTGGTCTACAGGTCTGACGGCTGTGGGTGGTCTGTCCCTGATGGGAGGGGGCTACGTCCCAACTTCGACTGCTGAGACACTGGCTGTGCTCGCTGCCTTCATCTCTTCGGTCAACATTGCTGGTGAGTCACCCTAACACAGACACCTCACGGTAACCCCTGCCAGTTACAGCAACCCAGAGCCAATAATATATCATCTTGGGCTGAAGATTGAGGTGTTTAATATTGATTGTGCAATAACATCATTTCAAACCCAAGTTTTGCAGCTGCCCTCTCTGCCCACCTGCTCAGCCCAGAGTCGGTGGCTCTCGCTCGGACCACACACATCCATTCCTGCTATTAGCCTCAATAATTTCCATTATAATGACAAACTGTTCCTGGAGTCATTATAATACTCATCGCTCTGTAATAGTCCTGGGAAAAACAGAGTGTTCCTCCAGGGCTGAGCCATGATTTAGTTTTAATTTCTCCTATTAGCTCACTGCTAGACACCAGGACAGACTTTGATGCAAGCAAATAAACAGTTGATTTGCATAACAGATACATTTGGTTTGTTTGTTAAAATATACTGATGCGTCAGTTGAGTGTTAGAGATGCAGAGGGCATTAAGTGGAATCTTACCACAGATCAATCATTGCTTCCAAATGCATCACTGTACAAACAACTTTTTAGCGCTTTCACTTAACTTTGCTCTTTCTTCTGAAATACCACAGCCTTCATTGACATACCTACCAGTTATTTTTTTAATGTTCCCTTTGAGTTGGGTTCCTCAGACATATTTCATAGCAGTATACCACATTACCATAACCCCATGGGAACAAACTTAACACGCCATGGAAACGGACAAACACAATAAAGACAGAGCGCAATTAGGTCTATGTAAAATGTGAACATGCTGCCTTATCAATTCCATCTGTTAGCAAAAATCTGAAAAATGCCTGAAAGCTCCAGTGTGGTGGTTGCACTGCAAGAAGGGTAAAAAACCCAGAGCTACGTTTTTCTAAGCTACCGAACTGAAAAAATAAAACCAAAAACATGCAAAACTGGGATTCTGATATCTGCATGTTCAACAGGCACTTTCTTGCTGATAAGTCAAATATTCAAATGCCTCTTTAAAGCTAATATCAACTAATTGGCCAGTTTATTACGTATACCTGTTTTACTGCTCACTAAAAGCAAATTACAGTAATAGAAGCAAGTAGCAAGTAAGTATTAGTAGTAAATAACTACTTGTTACAACCAAAGTACGCAGAAAAGTATCAAGAATGAACAGCACGTCATATCTTGAAACATATGGGCTTTAGCTGCAGAAGATCATACCAGGTGTCACTCCTGTCAGCTAAGAAACAGGAAGCTGAGGCCACACTTAACACAGGCTAATCAAAATTGAACAACTGACAATTGGAAAAACGTTGCCTGGTCTAGTGAGTATAAAAAAGCTCAAACTGGTGTCTTGAACAAGAAAATTGGTTCACTGTACTCCATAGTGAGCAACTGTGTGATGATGTCATGTCAACATGGACTAGAATCTCTGAGGAATCTTTCCAGCACCTTGTTGAATCTGTGGACCAAGGAATTAAGGACCAACCAAGTATTAGCAAGATGTACCTAACAAAGTGGCCATTAAATGTAGTCATGTAAGCGAAGCAAAAGCATTTTGACATTTTAAAGATTGTATAATTGATGTTTTAACATTTTGAGTATTTAATTTGTTTGCTATCACGTGATAGCACGATGAGCTTTTTTAACAGCTAGTTGCCTTTTTCTTAACTTTATTAACGGGTCAAAGTTTTTACTGGTCTTGTGAAATACCTCATCTTTTACTGAAAATAACAGGCTAAAAATGTTGTATGTACATTCTTTGGTTACCGGCAGCATTCCCAGCACAGTATTTAGCAGATGTTATCATGGTGAGGTGCTAAATGAAGTAAGATAAGCAGTGTTTATCAGAATTTCATAACTCTGTTATTGCTTAATCTGACACAGTAAATCAATATTATGCTGTCTGAATGAGTTCAAGCACAACTCTTCCAACATGAGTGTAAACTCTTAATCTTGTTTATAGGCTGTTTTTCTTGCAAGCTTTCCAAATATAGTGCCACTAGCCCCATTTTTGGTTAAGAATTACCCCCAAAAAGAGACCAATACTGGCTCAGCCCATACACAGACGTTCCTCCATATTAATATACAGTTAGATCCATATATATTTGGGCACTGAAACAAGTTGTTTTTTGTTTTTGTTTTTTTTAAAAACCTGTTTACTGAAACATATTCCAATTATAGTTATATAATGGACATGGATATGATGTGTACACTCAGTTTTCATTTGAGGGTGTCTACGTTCAAGAGGTGTAGGACAAAAAATGAACGACACTCTCCAGGAGGTAGGCGTATCGATATCTAAGTCTACAATAAAGAGAAGACTGCATGAAAGTAAATACAGAGGGTTCACTGCAAGGTGCAAGCCACTCACAAGTCTCAAGAATAGAGAAGTTTGACTGGATGATGCAAAAAATCAAAACAAAAAAATCCCCAGCAGTTCTGGAAAAACATTCTTTGGAAGGATGAAACAAAGATCAACCTCTACCAGAACAATGGCAAGAAGAAAGTATGGAGAAGGCGTGGAACAGCTCATGATCCAAAGCAACCACATCGTCTGTAAAACACAGCAGAGGCAGTGTGATGGCTTGGGCGTGCATGGCTGCCAGTGGCACTGGGACACTAGTGTTTAGTGATGATGTGACACAGGACAGAAGCAGCCGAATGAATTCTGAGGCGTTCAGAGACATACTGTCTGCTCAAATCCCGCTAAATGCACTAAAATTGATTGAACAGCGTTCCATAATACAGATGGACAGTGACCAAAACATACAGCCAAAGCAATCCAAGAGTTTATTTGAGCAAGAAGTGGAATATTTTTGATTGACCAAGTCAGTCACGTGATCTTAACCCAGTCGAGCGTGCATTTCACTTGTTGAAGACTAAACGTCCATGAGTTCAAGACTTCAGACTGTTATTGCCAGCAAAAGGTTTTCAACCAAGTATTAGAAACGAACGTTTTATTTTCAGTTATTTAATTTGTCCAATTGCATTTGAGCGCCTAAAATGAAGGGATTAGGCTTAAAAAATACTTCAGTTCCTCACATTTTATGCAATCTTTTTGTTCAACCCACTGAATTCAAGCTTAAAGTCTACACTCAAACTGCATCTGAGTTGTTTCATTTAAAATTCATTGTGGTAACGTACAGAACCCAAAATTAGAAAAAAGAAAGTTGTCTCTGTCCAAATATGTAACTGTATTGACCCAGTCTGGTCTGGAATAATAGTCGATTATTAGTACATGTTTTAAATGGGACATTATGTGACTAAAATTACATGTACGGGACAGAAAGAGATGCTAACCTCCGATTCACCCCTCTGTGTATTAGTGCATGTGCATGCACGTGGCTACAGCCATGCCAGAGGGGAAAAGGGAGGCATACATGCAGTAATGTGATCTTGTCCTGTAAAGCAGTAAGACACTGTCTGCTCCCGGTTTGACACTTTTGAGGTTTTCTACTTGAAATATTTACCCTGACATAAAGTAGACTCATTAAATTCCTAACATTGGTTATTGGGCTTGGCAACAAATTTTAGCTATGGCCTATAAAACACCTGTTAGTCTAAAAATGTAGAAACTGTTTTTCAGGTGCGTCAACTATTTTTACTCTTTTTCTTCTTCTTCTTGTTTTTAGTTAAAGTTTTTTGTGTTTTTCTGTATAAATGATTATTTTGTTAATTTTAATTGACTTAGCAGTTGTCAATATAAGTGTCTTCATTTCCTCATCAGGTGGTTTTCTGGTGACTAAGAAGATGTTGGACATGTTCAAACGTCCCACTGATCCCCCAGAGTACAACTACCTCTATTTGCTTCCTGGTGGTGTCTTCGTCGGAGGCTACGCTGCTGCCCTGCAGTCTGGATATAACATTGAACAGGTGAAAGAGGACATTTAAGTTGTGTCCGTTAGTTAAAGTGTTTTCATGTTTTCTCACTGAAGCTATTTTCTTTATCCATGTGCATTGATGCAAAACAGCTCATGACTATATAAAAGTCCTTGAGACCTCCAAAATGTATTCTTTGATTCCACAGATGTTGTGCAGGAACTCTAAGTAAAATCACTTGGACTTTTCTTTTTTTTTTCTTATTCATCCTGTGGTTCCTTAATCCTTGTCCACCCTTCTTTTCCATTCTCGCTCTTTCCCTAACCAGATGATGTACTTAGGCTCAGGCTTGTGCTGCGTTGGTGCCCTGGCTGGCCTTTCTAACCAGACCACAGCCCGTCTGGGTAACACTTTAGGTATGATGGGAGTCGCAGGCGGGATTGCAGCCACTCTGGGTGCCCTCAAACCAAGTCCTGAGCTCCTGGCACAAATGAGTGCAGCCATGGCTGTGGGTGGCACTGCTGGTGAGTCTGTTTGCATTTAGAGTTGCAAATAAAAACTTTAAAATTACCAGGATCTCAGTACTGATTACTGATGACATGCAGTCTGATATTCATCTAAGTCACAAATGGAGATAAAAACAGTCTGAGTAAAGCAATGACACAGAGACATTTGTCTTTATTTAACATGGTGAGTAATAAATTACACTGGAAGCTTAAAACCTACTAATGTCTGGTGTTCAGATTTAAGACATGAGATTTGATGCGTGGGCTGCAGGAGGTGCCATTCCTGTAAATAAAGGCATGCAAAGTCTGCTCCTCTTAAGGAAAACCTGCTTGGCATTTAACATGCTTTGATTGCGACAGCTTTCACAAGATCTTAGAAGCATTACTGAGGTAAAAAGAAGTGGGAAAGGCTAGAAAACTACAGGGACCTGAATGTTCATCAGTCTACAATGAGCCAAATTGTTTTAGACGTACTGCAAAGATCATCCCAAGGTTTCAGTGCAAAAAGAGGTAAGCACAAGGGTAGCAGCAAAACACCTGCAGACATCTTCACACACACACACACACACACACACACACACACACACACACACACACACACACACACACCTTGCAACAATATAATTGATATATATATAAATGAAATAATGAAGCTAAATTGTATGAAGTAACTTTGTCAAGGCAGCAGTCCATAACCTTGAGATTGGGAGAGGTTGGGTGTTGCAGCAGTATTGATGCAAAGCAACAAGCACACAAGTTAATTAGCACCAGAAGAGCTGGAAGACAATGAAACAAGATTCAGGTTTTGATTAGGTTTGACTCTAATCCAGCTAAGATCCTGAGGTATGACCTTTAGAGGGATTTTTTTGATCTTGACATCCCGGGAGTTTTGTATGAAGGAAGGCTCCACTGTTCCTCGTCAGCATTCTGCATGTTGCAAAAGCACTTACTGGACATACTCGATTGTTAAAGGATGTTCCACAAGTTACTGAATTCAAGAGTTAATGTTTAACTCTTTTCAGCTTCCACCATAACTACTTAATGTGTTCAATTAAGCAATGAAAAGCACAACTATTTGTGTGTTAATTAGCTTAGTCAGGTTGTATTCAAGTTGATTGAAATCATCGTAACTCCAAATGATTCACAAACTCCCTTCTTGCAGCTGTGCATAGATTTTAAAAGATCGACTTGTCCTTCTCCCCTACACAGAAGTAGGAATGTCTCTTGACTCCAATATATTGAATGCGGCTTTTGCATTGTTTGCATGTATTCTGGCCTTGGCTACATTAGGTTAGCAGGTGTGTTAAGAGCAGTGATATTTACATCATGACTAAATCTCTGCCAGACAAAGCAGATCTGTCAGAATGGTCAGCATCACACATTACTCACTTTCTCTCTCTTTGAAGATTGTTTGATCATTTAAATGCTAATTGTTCCAGCCACAAAGCCGAAACCCAGACTAAACTATCTACACAGACAATAATGCTGTTTTTATTTTTAACCCCAGATACGGGAATGTATTTCACACACGCACATGTACAGAAAGTGTAGACCAACTCACACACACGGAATTTCCCCAAGCAAGCCTCATCAGCAACACCTGGCTCTTTAGATGGGCCCACTTCCCAGCAGTCCTGAGTGCATGTGCTTGTGATTTGCATGTTATTTGTGTGTGGGTCTTTCAGGGCCACTAAACTTTATTTACTTCTTATCTCTCCTTCTCTCTAGGCCTGGCCATTGCTAAGAAGATCCAGATCAGTGACTTGCCCCAGCTGGTGGCTGCTTTCCACAGTTTGGTTGGCTTGGCTGCTGTGCTCACCTGTGTGGCTGAATACATGATTGAGTACCCACACTTCGCCACAGACCCTGCAGCCAACCTCACCAAGATAGTTGCGTATCTTGGAGCCTACATCGGTGGAGTCACTTTTAGCGGCTCTTTGGTAGCATATGGCAAACTGCAAGGTGAGAGCTGCAGTTGCATATACTAAATATTGAATGGAAAAGAAACATTTACACTTGCTGATGTACAGGCACACTTTGGAATAATGCTGACATGTTATTATAAAGCATATTTATTACACTTTTGATCATCCTGGTTGCCAGAGAGGAGGCAGATACAGTCCATCATGAGATGCTACTTTTAGGTGCACGATACATATTAGGAAAACCATGGATCTGGGTCAGCTGTGATCTGTAAAGCTACAGTTAATGTTAATTTTGCAAAGCTCTTTTTAGAAAAATATTTTTTAAGCTCAGATGTGCTCTTTCTTTACTTTCTTTCCAAGAGCCAGATTAGAAGATCACTGCCAATCTCGAGTCTCTGCATTAATTCTTCAACTGGAGCTGGGAGTCATTGAGCTTTGCTTAGCATAAACACTATATAAGCAAAAGTAAACTCCTTGTTTAAGTTAATAAGAAGTCGTAATTATGGGTGGCAACCTCAATGCCTGAAAAATGAAGCTGGTATGGAGGTGCCAAAAAGTACAGTTCTCTTACTGGCCACTTGAGGCTGCTCCTAAACCACCTCAGTCTCCAGAGACTTCCATGTTAAAATGCCCAGCTTACAACAGTTTGGTCCATTATGGATAGTTTCCCGCTTCATAACAACTTTGTACTGAGTGAATCCGTTTAGATACTGTTAAGGCCAAAAGTTAGGGATGTGGTTTCTTTGGCAGATGTGCCAACACAGAGTGTAGATGCAGATAGCTTGAAGCTAGGTTTCACACCTGCTACTCAGATTTACTGAACTAGACTTCTCAGCCATGCTTTTGCTGTTTGGTAGGAACAAGTCATGTGGATTACAGTGTGGTACAGACCATCTAGGAAGTTTGTGTTTTAGCTTCAGTGAGTGAATTCTTGTATTTTGTTATTGCTGTGTTGTTTCAGATAAGCAGACATGTGTGCATTGCAACTTACTAACCATACTTGCTAGATAAGAGAACTTGGAACTGTTTTCTTCAGGTACCTTCTGACTATAAAAGTCCAAAGCGTTACTGTTGAGACCAGGTGCCATCACGGCAGCTCCATCCATCTTTAGTTTCTAGTTCCTGTCTGAATACTGCAATTCGTTTAACTCACTTCTTGTTTTTGTTATAACTGAGATGATTGAGCCACGATCAAGTTGGCAGTTCGTCTTGTAATCGGAAGGTTGCCGGTTTGAGCCCCGGCTCAGACAGTCTCGGTCGTTGTGTCCTTGGGCAAGACACTTCACCTACCTCCCTCGCTTCTGTCAGTCTGCCCCAGGGCAGCTGTGGCTACAACTGTAGCTGCCTCCACCAGTGTGTGAATGTGAGAGTGAATGAATAGTGGAATTGTAAAGCGCTTTGAGGGCCCCGAAAAGTGCTATATAAATGCAATCTATTATTATTATTATTATTATTATTATTATTATTATTATTATTATATTTCATATGTATGGTAAAGTTTTATTTGCGATTGTTTTTCCTAAACATGACCAGTTAACTGACCTGCAATTATTTTTTGACATTTGGAGGTGAAAAATGATCAAAGAAAAAAAATGTTATCTTTATTGATTAACAAACTTAACTCTAACCTGCATCGACTATATGCACAGACACACATATGCACACTTTGCTGCCAGCTTGATCATACTGTGTTTATCCACATAAGGAAGTTTGCTGCTTCGTGTCACCGCTGCTAGCTGTGAAGCGTTAAAAAAGAAGCCCAGTTCATCAGGTTCATGTGCTGGCTCCAGTCCTTGTAATCACACTGTAATTTCCATGTTGACTGAAAGTGTTTCATAAGGACAAATTATGCATCTACATGGCATTCAGTTAATGACAAGTCTCAAGTGGTGGTTGCGAAGGAAGAAATCTAAAATGATAAATGTCACACATACAAAAAAAAGCTACTGCTAGGAGTTTGAGTGTACACCTAACAGATTTTTTTTTTTTGTTCTCACCACTTTTCTCCACATGCAGGTATGTTGAACAGCGCTCCTCTGATGCTCCCCGGTCGTCACGCCCTGAATGCCACTCTTATGGCAGCAAGTGTCGGTGGGATGATTCCCTACATGCTGGATCCAAGTTACACCACAGGCATCACCTGTCTCGGATCAGTGTCTGCTCTCTCTGCTGTCATGGTATGCTGTGTTTATGTATGAAGTCTGTTTTTTCGCTCTTAAAAATCACAGATTGAGAAGTTATTTCATACCGACAGACTGGACATGATGGTAAAAATTTTCACGAGTGGTGAAAGGGCATAAAGAAGTCAAGAGAAATGATGCCAGAGAGGTGTAGAAAAGAGACAAAACGAAGGGATTTGCTCATAAATGTCAGGAGGCTTTTTGCACAGGAAACAGTAGCTGCCCAGAAATTCAGAATGGAGCAGAGAGTTGGCAGTGGCCAAACTGCTGGGTTAATATTCTCCACTGTCGTTAAGCTTAACGTTTGAAATTCTGTAGAAATCAGAGACAGACATCTTCAATGCAGGCATTTCTCCATAGCAGTGTCAAATGTTAAGCATGTGACAGTGAACAATAACAATAAACAACAACCCCACCTACTTTTAAATCTATTTTTTACTGACAGTCTTTAGATTTACAATTAGCAATAGTTATATTCTATGAAGTTAGACTTAGGATCTATAGAGAAGCGTTTTACAGTGTAAATAATAAAGGAAAGTGATAATTGTTCTCTTTAGAGAGTCTTTAGGCCTTCAAAGTTTCATTTACTGATGCTGAGTACTTTATACATTAAGTGAAGCCAGGCAGTACATGTTAAAAACGGAAGAAATTTTATGCACAGCCGCGTGTTGGAGTTTCAGTTTTTACACGTGCCAATCCCCCTAAAAACATTAGCATGTCCCTGGAGAAGGTTGATGGATATCATTTCACAGTCTGTTTTATATTTCTGTCCTCTAATCAGTCGTTCAAATACAGTATAATGCATCATCTACTGTACATGTGTGCGTTTCTTAACACTTCTGGATCCTGCTGAGGCTTTCGTAACTACAGTTGGCTCTTATTAAACGAAAGCTGTTCAGATGATAGCGGGAATGGAGGACAAGAAAAATTTGATTGTGAAAAATATGTCTAAAACTAGGATGATGTTTTTATCCTTTGAAAATAAAATGTTGTTTATTTAATTATTACAAAACACTAAGTGGACAGGAGTTTCATTCTAGTATATTTAAAAGTTTGTAAGGTTTTGTTTGAATGTGAGTGTCTCAACACTAGAGTGCGACTATTGCATATATTACATTACTTAACCTTAATCCTAACATTGTAACATTCAGACATTAACCTAACAAATTATTAGTTGTATTTTGACAGTCGGATTTTATGGATTAGCACCTACCAAGGGAAGTAAAAGAAAGAAACATTAGTCTTGCTCTGTGTGCACACTGCTGAGGAAGGACAGAGATGTTTTCATTGTGTACCAATCTCTGTGTAAAACTGTAAAAGTCACACTGGATCCTGCTCTGCTCTGTTTCAATAAAGCACCAAGTTCATGTGCAGTATCACGGAGCAGGAATGTGCAGGGCTCGGCTCTATACACTCAGAGTGAGGACTAAGTGTAGAGTTGACACGACAGAGCCCAAGTTTTGGCACTCACACACGCTACAGGATTGTTTGGTCTGTTGTTCGGTGGCGGCTTATGATGTCATAATATGTCATGCATAATGAAAGTTTTGTGGTTAGAAATTAGATATCATTGCCCTGGAATTAAAATGACACAATGCTTTTTTTCAAGGTGTTACAGGTGTATACACACCACAAATGGGTCATTGTAGCCTGTTGGTATGTGGTTGCTGAGCAACGCATTAAAGCTACTTTCAGCTGCTACTTTGTCACCTCGGTGGGTGGGTCCATATCTGTTCTGGGTTTTTTTTGGTTTTTTATACCAGATGCTCTTCTTAATGCAGTCCCAAAGGGATTTGTGTCTCCTCCCAGAGTCAAACCCGAGATGTTTTGTTTGTTAGGTAAATGTGTAAACCACTACATTATGGAGCTGCTGCACTGGCTTCATAATATCTGATATAGACAAGAAACGTCAGGGGCCTTTGTGCCAGTTTTAGCTACTCAACTCCTGATTGTGTTGGAGGAATTTGCAGTGATGATTTAAGAACTCCGCTGCTGCGCTGCTGTATGTTCGCAGCACAAAGTTCTAATATTGGCACATACTGGACAACATATATGCAAAAATCGCGGCCAATATCATTCGACAACGTCAGCAAACGTGTCTGTCAGTTGAGCTCATAGCTGCTCTCAATTTTACTGCTCTAACGAATACTTAAGATGATCACAGGAGTGGGTTTAACCACACATTTCCTACTCCTTTCTTCCAGGGTGTAACACTGACAGCAGCTATTGGAGGTGCTGACATGCCGGTGGTAATCACCGTACTCAACAGTTACTCAGGCTGGGCCCTGTGTGCCGAGGGCTTCCTTCTCAACAACAACCTGCTGACCATCGTCGGAGCTCTCATCGGGTCATCTGGAGCCATTTTGTCATATATTATGTGTGTGGTGAGTGGAGCACAGACTCAGCATCTCATGTAGCAGATAGTTTAATGTGGTTTTTCCTTATCTGTCCACCAGGAGGGACTCTTAACTTTTCCATTATAGCAAGACTGTGGAGTGGCTTTTCTAAATATTCCGGTCACAAATGTGTGAAATTCATTGCCATGTTTTGTTTTAGACAACAGCGTTTAGTGTAAAGTAAATATGAAAGAAAGTATCTTAATTTCCCCCCCTCCTCTAGGCCATGAATCGCTCACTGGCTAATGTGATCTTGGGAGGCTACGGCACATCTTCCACCGGCACAGGAAAGCCCATGGAGATCACAGGGACACACACAGAAGTCAATGTGGATCAGACTGTCGAGATGATTAAAGAGGCCCAAAACATAATCATCACTCCAGGTAAGACATACACACACAACCCTATACTCACACTGAGGATTTTATGTGAGTGGAAAAATACAGTACTTTGACTTTGCCAGTCTCTTTTTTGCCATCATTAGCACAGTGTGTTCTGTTTATTTAACCTTTTGTTAACCCGTGTTACATCATTTTGCTGGGTTAATTGACAAGTCCTGGTGGAGCGCACGTGCACGAACACACACAAAAGCACATGCACACACACGTAAACCCGCTGTTAGGTTTCTGTGTGGTCGTCAGTGCTCGTAAATAGACATTCTGCAGTGCAGCTTATGTATGCAAGGTCAAAGGGGGAAATTAGATGGAATGAGGCTATGTTGGTTTTTTTGTTGACAATTCAAATACCACACTCCAAATTGGCTTCTAGTTCCTTTTTCAGGGTTAAAGAGTGGGTTCCAGTCTTTGTTCCAGCTATATGATTTTCTTTGTTTCACGTGTTTTCAATATTTGTCTAGATATGTGCCTGAACCTCCCACCTGGACTATAACGATTGTCCTTGGAGCTGCTGCTCTAAACTCATTATTGTGTGGCCCACTGACATTTCGGTCCCCTCGTCTAGACTGTTGTTAACCATTCGCAGTTCCAAAGGGTTGTTTCGCTCACGTGGGTACATGTAAACACAGACCAAAGGCATCTAATCTGCAAACTGGTGATTCCAGTCACAGCGCTGAGTGCCTGTATACAAAAATGAAGTCTTCAGAGGAAACCGCTGCAATTTACAAGAATTGCAAATTAAAGTGGTCACGTGGTCAAGTGAAAAAGAGGTGATCCATGGAGAGAGTGGCATCCAATTTAGGTTAAACCATCCCACCCCCGCTTCTTTTCTGGGAATAATGGCAGATGAACAGGAACACGCCTGACAGCTAAAACCAAAACCAGCCCCCCAAAAACAGATATATTTTCTTAGCCTTTTCTCAAAAATGTTTCACAAACAAATCAACACCAAGACAGGATGAATAATAAAATACCAGACATTTCTTCAGTTGGTCTGTTATTACTTATTTCCTGCTCCATATTTTGAAAGGTTTTGAATGATTTACATTTCAGAGTAATAATCGTTTCTCTTGTACTTGGACCAGCTTCTCGGGTCATTCATTGCTGTCTTGTTTAAACCAGCTTTCTTCTGATTGGCTTCCCCTCAGAAACAGAAGGTTTGAACAACAGGTGGGTGGGGCTTCTGTGCTAATGGCCAGAGATGTGTGCTTGAAATTATCATATGGAGGATATCTCCTCTCTTTGACATCATACAGACTCAAGAGTAGAAAAAACTGGCTGAAACCAGGCATTTTGGGCAGCTTCCAGCTAGTAGGGACACATGCTGGACAATATGAGCTTTTAATAAGTAGCAATCAGGAATAATTAGGAATCAGTCTACTTGAAAAGATTCCAGCGCAAATACGATGATTAAAATCATTATCGTTCGCTTATCTGAAGTTGACTCACCTTGAAAGCAGGCGAGGTGAGTCAAGGGTATTCCAGATGTTCTTCTCCCTCTCACAGTTCTCCATCTCAAACTCTACTCAGGCCATATGATAATATAATCTCACCAGTGAATTCTGGTACTACTTTGGGATCTTCTTCAAGTTTGTCATGCCCAGAAAATCTCCAATTGGAGGCACTGTGACATCCAGATGTCTTGGCTCCTTACTCTCTCTTTAAGGCTGATTCTAACCACCCAGTGGGGGAAATGCATTTCGGCTGCTTGTGTTCTGGTCATTACAAAGATCTCATGATCATGGGTGAGGGTTGGGACGTAGATCGATTGTTAAATGAAAGCTTTGCCTTTTGGCTTGACTCTCTTCACTGTGACACTCTGTTACATCTCCGAAATTACTGCTAAAACCGTCGCCGATCTGCCGGTCCAACTCCATGTGCTCCATGTTCCTATCACTTGTGAATAAGATCCCAGTCCTGGGAACTGAAATCCATTAAAACAAATTATAAAACAATCTGTTGAATAATTGGCCGTTTTAAACAACATCAATCAGCTATCCAGACTTTGTTGCAAAGTCTGGATGTCAGCAAGCTTCTAAAATTCCACTTAGTGTTAAACATTCAAACATTCTTAATCTTAGATTTGTTTTCAACTCTGTAGTTTTACAGTTTTAAGGCCTTTTCACTGCACATGTGCCATTTGTCACCTGTGATGACAGGTAAATGTAAAACTTATACAGCCAGACTGTTTCCACTGGAGACAACGCTTCATATGTCGCTGTACAGAACCCAGTACATTAAAATGTGCAGAACAATCGGAAATTTAATTGCTAAAACATGACAATAGCCAGAGTATAGAAGTAATATTTTTTATGGCTATGCCTGCATAACTCACATCAGCCAAATGCATGGTTTGTTGAGCTGTGTGAGGCAGCAGTAGTTTGGTGTTGTTTCTCTTTCAGTCAGTGCCCTTGTTTTCATTTCGCCAATTCCCTCTAAATTGAAGCTGTCACAGTCAGTTTGCCTGACATCTGTGGAAATGATTAAGACACTGCCCCGATAAACACGGTGCATTCTTGGCATTCATCCGGCTCGTGTCTTCATGGCCTGGGTCCACTTGTTGTTCTTATACGACAAGCTCCACTGAGAATTTTGGAAGCGCAGAGGGATACAGTAATTTTGACAGAGGGAGGCAGAGAAGTGAAAAGCGCTACATTTTTCATTTTTGAGCTGGGTGGCAGTGGGTCAACCAATTTTCTGGAGATTTTTTGGGGGGTGGGGTCTCTGTTTGTCTCCAGTAGAACTGTCATTTTGATTGGTGTGCTGTAACATGAAAGTTTTTGACTGGTTGTTGTGACAAGGTTAGTAAACATCACCGGACCGTTTGACATGTGTTTGTGTGTGTGAGCAACAGCGTGAGTTTAAAAAAAGAAAAAGAAAAGAAAAAATCAAGTAGCATACTCCAGAATTATTATCAAACATGAGATAAATGCAAGGCTGGGAGGCAGAAGTACTCTGTGTATTGAGTTTTATGCTACATTGACATTAAATGTCAACATGAATTTATGTAAGAAATCTTAAAATGACAAAAGCAGGATATTACAAGGAAATAAAGTGGGTTAAAAAAATACTCTGTTTTTACTCTTTGGTCATTCAGTTCATTTTCAAAATATTTATATTATTGGTGAGTCATTAAAGCAGCGTAATTAGACTGCAGAAATTAGATTTGAAGATTAGAAGATTGTTTCAGTCACAGAGACTGAGTGAGATGAAAGGGATTTTACAAATAAACATTCAGGCGCTGTGTTGGCTGCCTCACTCTAGCTACGCTCCTTTCCTGCATGTGCTTTCTGTAAGCTATATAGCTGTAACCACAAATATGTTTTGGCTAAATGTAAAGGGTTTGTTTGTGCTGGGTATATATAATCATCTAATTTTTGTTGTCTGTTACTGCTTTGAAATCTATTTCAGGTTACGGTCTCTGTGCTGCAAAGGCCCAGTACCCCATTGCGGACTTGGTGAAGATGCTCAAAGAGGCGGGCAAGAGTGTCAGGTAAAGGAATGATAAAGTTGACTTTTTTAAAAGTAGATTTAATTTGTCAAAATAAACTGCTGCCAAACGACAACAAAATATACCATCAATTTTGTTTATGAACAGGATTTTTATGGGTTGTAAATCTTGAGCATCTCTAGGTCATTTTCAACATGGCTGCTACTTTTAGATCTACTTTTCACTTGTGCCTCAGTGAGAGGCACCGAACCTCCTTTAGTGCATCAAAATCAAAATGTCCCATCCTTCTAAGTGATTTCCATTTTTGGAAGTTCCATTGAGGCAAATCAAATGAGCGAAAATTATATTTGTAGCAAAACCCTCCTTTGTTTTGAGTGCACTCTGTGCCACCACATGATGACACACACCACAGTCCAGTTTCTTCAGACACCACCTGGTCTAACTCCTCACCTGATGTGCTGCCTTTGGCATTGGAAACGAAGAACATTTTAACCGAAAGCTGCTGGAGGCTCAGTCCCAGTGATGATCCTCTACGGGAAATTTGGGTCCGTTTCGAGCTAAAGCCGATGTTCGCTGTGCACAAGTTTAAGGTCTGTGGTGATATCACATAACGGGCAGTGCGTGCGTGTGTGGTGGTGAGTGTAAGTGGTCAGATTTGGACTTCAAATGAGCCATCTAAAAATGGTAGCTGCACTGGAAGCTGTTTGGGTATATCGATACATAATGTAAAAGTTATACTACGTAGGACATGACCAACAAGCGGAGACTGACAAGGGCAACAAGACGTAGTGGGCATGTGTGTGTGGTAAAAAAGGAAATGCGAAAGAGAGGATGCGAAGGACAAGGTACAGTGGAAGCATGTGTAATTGTCCTGCCTCTGTCGTTTGATCGTGGCTCTTGCAGCTGCTATTGCTTAGAGCATTTGTACTTGATTAGAGGAAAGTGGGTGGTCAGAGAAAAACAGAAAAAACCTCCTTCACTCTGATCTCTTTCTTTCATTTTTTAAACTTTGTTCTGTATTATTAAAACTCTTTTTTTGTCACTTATTTTCTTACTCTTTGTACCTGCTTTTGTCACCTCTTCCGCTTGTCTTTTTCATCCAGCCTCCTCCTTTTTACAGGGTACTAGCAATATAACACTTGGCCACAACTTCTGCTCATCCAGACCAAAACTACTGTGTTCCCCACTGTCGTCCTGTGCATGCAGACCGTATCGAAATACACAAAAGGCATAAACTGACTTGCTAATTCACCCCAGAATCAGCGGGCCATCTGCTGTCTGTATCCGCCGAAGCTCATCAAACAAAAATAAAAGATCAAACCTCCAAATAGTGGCCAAAGTGATTGGAAGGTTTCAGAAAAGGAGAACCAGCCACCAGTATTCAGTGGCTGGTGCTAATTTCCTACCATGATTACATTACATGGCTAATTGAGTTTGAGAGCTGTGTATGCCCAGAAACACACTCAACAAATAACACTGGTGGGGGAGTGCAGTAGGTGTGTTTGTGTGGAACCAGACTGTAATCACACTCATCAACTCCATTTGTCCAATTCTCTTTGATTTAAGGAAGTTGATGGCAGTCAAGAAGAACTACGAACTAAGTTTGTAGTAGGTGGGACTGATTTGAAGTATTCATTTTAATGCATTTTTTTTCACCCTCAGGTTTGGTATTCACCCGGTTGCTGGCCGCATGCCTGGTCAGCTAAATGTGCTGTTGGCTGAAGCTGGTGTCCCGTATGACATTGTCCTGGAAATGGAGGAGATCAATGAGGATTTCCCTGGTGAGAACTAGTTATTTCTGTCATTTAAAATCTGTACATTGTCATTAATTCATCCATAAATGCTGCTGCCTTTTTACAGAGTTTACAATCAGACCCATTTATATTTACGAATGTAGGGTTAAAAGGATAGTTTGACTTCTATTGGAAAACCTTCAAAGGCCTTACATAGGTGAGAACAGAATTATTGGCCCTCTCATGAAAACCAAAAGTATTGCCCACGTGCTGTTACAACAGAGCAAGGAATTTTTAACACAGCTTTCTAAGCATCCCAGTTTTATTTTGGATGCTTACATTAGTTTTAGTTTGCACACAGAAACAAAGTTATTTCATAAAAACTGCCAGGGCTAAAAGTATTATTAGCTGTTGGTCAGCTGTGTGTCCTTTTTGGCTGGTAACAGCCTGCAATCGCTTGTTTTCATTTTTAACAATTCTCACAAATGTCTTCTGAGCAATTCCAGCCCATTTTTATTTAGTGACTCTCTCAAACGCCTTTAAACGTGATGATCTTCAGGAATGGGTCTTGACCTCCAGTTTATCCCACAGATTCCTTCCACACTGATGAGATTCACAGTTCCAGGCACATTAAAGCATCCCCAGAGCATAATAGTCCCATGTTTCAGTATTAAATGAACAAACAAAAATGAGTGGGTAAAGTGTTTGGTATTTTACCTAAAAATAAATAAATTGATGTGAAATAATGGAGATGTGTTCGTACATCCTATCAGAAACTGACCTGGTCCTGGTGATTGGCGCCAATGACACAGTTAACTCAGCGGCCCAAGAAGACCCCAACTCCATCATCGCTGGTATGCCCGTGCTGGAAGTCTGGAAGGCGAAGCAGGTGAGAAATCTGGCGCATGCATGAGTGATAATAAGATTTATCCTGAAGCACAAAAACACGAAGAGGAACAAATGGAAGCGTTTACAACAGTTCGACTGTCTGCACCTGCAGACCTGCTTCATTTAAAGACGCACACAAACCTAAAGAAGACAAAAACACACATGTATAGACATATAAACCCAGGCTCTTACAGACTGTTGCAGTTCCAGGTGCAGTCCCATCCTGATCTCATTACTGAGACTGTGTCCGTGTGGAATATCAACATTTGGAGCATCCCACTGGCACTGATCAGAGATCTGTGATTTATACAGTGCTCCCACTAGTTTCCACACAGGAAATAAAACAGGACATTCTACCTAACCGCACATGCAGCGACACACATACAGATTTTAAATCACTATTTTTTAAGTGCTCAATTACACTTTCATCACACACCACTTTTATAATTTAAATAATCTTTGGCTTTGACTCAGAGACTCATTCTTACTAGGAATTGCCTACTAAGAAACTAAGGGTAAAAGTTGGAGTGTTTTTAGCGTTTTTCAACGAACATTTCGTTTAATGGACCATTTTGAAATTTCATTGTCTAGACAACTACTTCAGCTTAGTCCTCCAATTTTTTTTCTTTGTCATAAAATTCATAGTGGTCGGAAAATAAGAGAGAACACCATCACCACTTTTAAATATCAGTATCAACAGAAATTTCAGTTTCCTTAGATTATTTTGGATTTGACACCTGAGAAATATGAGAGTGAAGTTGAATGAAAATGTGTTTTGTTTGTTGTTTTGTTTCCATAAGCTTGAATATCTGTCAAACCATTCTCCTAATTTGGACTGTTTTAAACGATATTATGTTCCTTGTATATGAGAGGCTGTAAATAAAATATCATCCCCCTGCCTGCAAAAGTTTGCTTTCTGCAGACGTCCAAATCTGCTGTCAGAGATTGGGGATTCAAATATTTCAGAGATTCAAGCATCCATAATTCTGTGTTAATTGGAGCTACAATCCTTTGAGTCCAGAGCCATAGTGCCGTAGATTTACCCTGAAAAAGATTGCATCACACAGAAAGCAACTTTAATCTCTAATGGTTAGATGAGAAGTTTTTTGATCCTCCTTCCCTAGTTGCCAGATTTGATTCACTGTGACGTTCCAAGAAATTCAAGTTGAACCTTTACCATTTTGATCCATGCACGTGGCATGGTGCAGATTTATGCGCTATAAGTCGTGCGGCAGTGCCTCAACCATTGTTAATGGAGGGATTGAATGGAGAAGATGAGGAAAACACTTTTTGCAGATGGTCCTTATAAACTTTTTCTTCTGTTTTGTCATCTGTTTGTTGTCCAATCAGAAGCTTACCAGCCTGTGTGAATTTGTCTCCTTCCATAGGTGATTGTGATGAAACGCTCCCTGGGTGTGGGTTACGCAGCTGTTGACAACCCCATCTTCTACAAACCCAACACTGCAATGTTGTTAGGCGATGCTAAGAAGACTTGCGATGCCCTACAAGCCAAGGTCCGCGAGTCCCAGTAATGTGCCCCCTGCCTCAACCAGGCACCTCCACTGAGAGCACACACATGGAGAGAGAAAGGACGACAACAATAAGGCTTAGTTTTTCCAAAAGTATTCCAGCATTCAGTTCATCTTTGTCCAATTTGTAACGCAGCCAAGTGAACAAAGATGATTAATAGGGTAAAAGCTTTTCTGCAAACCCTTTCTGTGATCTATAAATAAAAGCAAATTTGCTTTTGCAATCAGAGCTGAATAATGCAGATATTGTAGATTTATCATTTCCTAATGAGGTAATGCACAACTCTTTTATTTCTAGATCTTAAAGAAAGGGTTTGTCAACTTTCTGCATGTCTTCTGTTTAATAAGGGGAGCAGCTGACAGCGAGTCATCTTCATTACAGAGACGTATATTAATGTAAAACAGCCACAAATGTAGATAAGATGTTAGAGATGATGCATTTCACTGTTAAGGTGTTTTAGAAAATAGCCAATAGCTAAAAGAAATATTAGACTTGGATTGGAATTTAAAAAATATGATGGTGAATCACAAGAGGAGGTATGACAGACTTAAGCGCTAACATTTTACCACCCTGTAAAGATTCCTCGCCCCTTTTCCCCCCCAATTTGGTTTTGTTTTAGTCATGTGTTCCCTTTGATAGATCTGCTCTTTTTCTCCCCTGTACAAGTAAAAGGGAAAAAGGCAGAATAGTGCAACATTTCAGTTCCAGTTTTATACTGTATTGGGAGATTTTTTTTGTATTTGGTCTAATAATTATTTTAGAAAATGTCTGTATTTAGTGCTGTTTTGCTTTTTCTCTTTTCACTTGAGTGTATCTCGTGACCTTCCATCAAGAAAACAGCTGAGAAAAAATCCATTCAGACTTCTTCTGTCAGATGAGCAATGCAATAAACCAAAAGGATCTGAACGTTATGTGTGCCACCACAGCTGTGCAGAACGCTAGTGAAGCCCGTCTCACTCTTACAAACACTCTGATAGCCGACTGGATTTTTATGATGTGTTTGAGCCAGATGTGTTTCTTCTTTCTGTGTGGTTCAGATATTACAGTACACTAAATGCTATCCTGCTGGCCTTAATGGTAAAGAAGGTTTAGTTTTTCTCCTTTTAAGTGAATGTGGCTCATCCACTCCAATGCGTGCCCTCATTATTGCTCTGCGGTGAAATGAAGGTTTGTAAAGTAGGGCCATATGTCAGTCGGCCTTGTTGCGTCGAGCCTAAGCAACTAAGCAGTTATTTAATTAAAATTGTTGCCACGATCCAGCAGATATGAGGTGTCCGTTATCATGAAGTACTTCTAAAATCTTTATTTCTTCCTTTCTTTTATTAAAGTCCAAAACACAAAAAAAGTGCCAAATGGCCCCTCGAATTCGGAAAGATTTGCGTTATGAAAAAACACTTGAGTAGATCACAGACCGAAAAAAGATGGCAGCTTCCACTTTCTACCTATTGTGTCACAACTGAGTCACGTTTGAATGTGCTCCATTTATTTTCTGCTGCGGTTGCACTGCTGCAGCAGATCAATTGGCAAGAATGTATATTGTGGCGTAATTTGAACTAATATGTGAGCAGTCTTCATCACTTTGTAATCTACAAGTACTGTATGCATTAGTTGTTATAGTATCATCCTGGGACCTGATATGTTGACAACTGTCCTACCTCTCCATGAAATGGCCAATACCTTTCCACGGGACCTTCACCTGACCAGTCACCTATTACATAATCAAGCACAGGATCAGGACAGACAAATTCCAACCAAACACAGGACCAATAGCCTTCTGTTTTGTGTTTATGTTGCATTTTTTTTAACCACCTGACCTCAGTTTGCTGCCAGCATGTTTGCTTCATTGTGCAAGTGTAGAGCTGCACATGTCACTAGTGCTCATGAGGGCCTATCGTTCTCACGTCTTAGCTTCCACAAGGAAATGCATTCTTTGTCTGATATCGAGCAAATTAAAAGTGATGGAAAATCTTGATAATTCTGCTAGTATCCCTCCCCCCTTATGCCTGTTGTGTTTCTTCTTCTTTTTAAGGAAAGTATTTTTGTAAAGAGGCAGGGCAACAATGAGCTTTTAAAGTTGTACAACGTTTCAGTGCACCATGTTATGGAGACGAACTGATGAAATGTACTGTGAACTTGTTTTTTCCCCTCTTTTGTTTGTCATGGAACATTTTCATCCCTAATAAATCTGTATTTACACAAGTTTCCTGAAAGCGTAATTTCTTCCCTGACGTACACTTAAAGGTGAAAGGTGCAGTTGAATTCCCTTAAAGTAAACATGCTGATCTGCAAGGATTTCCCTGAGGTCCGCCACAGCTGTGAGGCTAATGGTACCAGCCCAATCTTCTATGGCAGAGTTGAAAACTAAAATACTTGCAGCAATTAACTAAATGAAGGATCACAAGCTGGAGGAAGGAGTTTTATCCACACACAGCCATTGTTTTAGATTTAGTTTTAGATTCTGTTACTCCAGCTCACCATGCTGTTATCACTTTTACACTTACAGCACATGTTCATGAGATTACATCGCCTTTGATATTCCATTTGTGAACAAAACAAGGAAACGCTGCATTTTGAAGCTCAGAGTGTAATTAGAGTAAACAAATATGTCATCTTGGAAAAGTTCAAACTTCTGTTGGGTGACATATTAATCAATGCATGCTCTTGTTTTTTGTTTTTTAATCTGTTTTCTCTTGACTAGATAAAAGTCCTGTGCAGAACTAAGTACATGTGATGATTCGGTAGCTGTTAGAACCACCTTTAGAATAAAAATTGAAGTAATCAACAATGTGAGAGATTTTTATCACTCTTGCATTAACATTAAATAATGTGCAACTCTCTTAAGGCCCCATCAGAGCATTTCAACCTTCACTGGGTTTTTGTAACACGTTGTTTTTTTGTTTTTCAGCCTTTCTGTTGTAGATTTGCTGCTGTGCTTAGAATCTGTAGTGTGACCCTGTGTGACCAAGATTTGGTTGTTGGACAGATGGCCTCACATCTGACTCTAGAATCCTGTGGCAGGACTGCGTGAACAAATTGCAAATTGCCCAATTGATAGCAAAGTGTCAGGGTCCCCAAATCGTCACCCCTGTGCTTCACAGATTGTATGAGATGTTTGTGCTGATATGCTTCGTTTTTCACCAAATGTATTCAGTTCGGTCTCATCCGTCCAAATTTGTTTGGACATTTACTTAGAAGTCTTATCCTGTTCGGATGTCTTCTCCTGGGAAGATCAGCAGCTGTCTTGAATGTTTGTGGATAATATTTCTCATCGTAGACTGATGGCTGTCAAATTGTTTGGGATTGGCCTTATAAACCTTCCCAGATTGATGGGCAGCAGCATTTTCTTCTCTAAGATCACTGAAGATATCTTTCCAACTTAGCATTGTGTTAACACACATCTGAATGCTGCACATTAGCAAACAGCTCAAAGCAGTGAAAGGGTTTCCTTTGTATTTATTTATAAAGTATTGCTGAAAAACATGACTAACATTTTTGTGTTATAGATAATAAAAACAGCATGAAAAATTTAGCAGCATTTTTGCTTTGATTTTTAAAGCATGAAAGGAAACTATAAAGACAAATACATGCTTAAGGCAGCGCACTGATCGCTTCAGATGATAAGATGGTAGAGTTCACGATAAGATATGATACATTTCGTGATGATACTAAAAGGAAGACAGCCATAAAAATAAGACACTGAAATACAGCTGGGAAGTGACGTAACTCCGGCCACAAACATGATTCAAATTGTTGTTTTCCTTTAAAAATTAAGGTATAAACAAAGAATAGTCCTGGTTCTCTGAATGGCAGCGGGTAGAAGATGAGCACAATGGGTAGGAAAGCCACTTTAACTCTAACTTCAAGGTGTCCCTCTTTTGCAGAATGGGATTGCATGAGTCTGTGATGAGGGTTTTTACAATGACTGAAATGTAAATATCAGGCTGTGTGATATTTTCACCTACAAGCGGCACTTGATTGCTATTCATCAGCAAAGAGTAAACTAGAGGCACTTAGAAGGGGAGTGGTACCCACATAGATTGAGTTGATTAAACTGTAGATAGATGGACATGGGGATTGCATGTGTGCATGATGAGGGTGGTTTCATCCTGTAACAAGTGCCACTCAGACAGGCTGTTATCTGGTTGCATGCTTGAGGAGATCTAAGGAGAGCTGTCACTCCCAGAGCACAGGCTAACTGCTGTGATAATTATAAAAGAACAGGTTTGGAAATCACTGTCAGGGAATTCCTGCATGTTTATGTTTGTTTGTTTGTTTTCTTCTTGAATGCAAATAGAAAGTATTTTTCATATGTCTGCAACACGCATCAGAAGGACTTCAGGTCATTGTAAAGGTGTGCGTGTGTGAGAGTGTGTGAGAGAGGGAAGATCACTGCAGAGGTGACAGTCTCATCAGCTGAAGTAGGGACACGCTGCCAGTATTTACTCAGAGCGCAGCGTGTTCCAGACACAATAAACCTCCATCCTTCCTCCCAGCAGGGATAGTCTGCCCTCCTTGGAAAAAAACACTCACACACACAGACAATTTGCTTAATTTGTTTTTCTTGGCCTTGCATGCGATTTGATGTGGAAGGTATTTAATTATTTATGACAGGAGTGTGTTTTGATGAGAGAATACTTTTTAATCTTTTATCTGAGAGAAATCGCAGATAAGTAGAAGTATCACAATGTGAATCTCAAAAACATTTAAAATATGGCATGCAGCTGAGATGAAAATAAAATTGGATAAAAGCAGTCATCATAAAGCTTGTCCCTCAACACTCAGTGTTTTATCTTGTTTTTTTTAGTCCAACGCTCATTCATTACATATGTATTCATACGAGCGCATGTTTCCACCTTATCTAACACTCTGATGGATACATCAGGGGCAACTCAGGGTTGCCCAAGGATACTTCAACATGCAGACTGGAGATTACTTCCTGAGCCACAGCCCCCTCTGCCCCCAATTTTATGAATAAAATTATAGCTTTGTACTTTTGTTTGTATTTCAGTTTAATGTTTATTAGTTTCAGTTTAAGCCTTTTTCATTGCTATAATATGAAGAATATTTATCAGAGGCATGATTTCAGATGGATACCACAATCACATAGCACTTTTGAAAGCGGCTGACTCACAGTCAAACATCCTGAGTCTCAAGAAAACAAGATGCTCCATGAGCCAAATGTAGTGTAAGTACTGAATTGTCTGTATATAATTATGAATGCATATAGATTAGACTGATTGTGTATACATGCTTGTAAATAAGTATATCCATGCGTGTGTAGAAGTGCTTATTCGTGAGCAGCAATGTTCAAATACTGTTTTATTTCTGTTTTTCTTTTTAGTTTTTACTTTATTTCTTAACTGTGTGAGTTATTATGAAAAAAGTCTCTTGAGGCAGGTTGTTTGACCCAAGTGACAAAAACTACGACTAACAACATCTCCCGTGTTTATCTTTATTTGAACTAGCTGGAAAATATGGTTTCAGTTAGTTCTCATTTTTATAAAGTCTAGTTTTTATTTCAAAAACTTCTTTAAATCATGGGGTATATCGATAGTCACATAACTTACAATCTTCTGGCATCACATTCAAAGTGAATTGATTATATCACGTGGTGAATCTGGCTGATCTTACTGCACAATGGAAACGAAAGGCAGACTGCCTCATGCCCGACAAAAGTTCTCGCAGTGAAAAGGAAGCTTATGCTGCACACAGATCTGAGTTGGCGTGTGTGTCTGTGTGTTTACTTTCCTCTGTGCAATAGACAGATATTCTCTTGAGTAAATGAGGCAATCTTGTTGAAAGGCATGTAAATGTAACTGTGTGACTGAAGGGTTATGTGGATGGGTCCTCCAGCATAAAGTTGGGCTGTGTCATGAAACCTTTCCAGAAAGTGTGTTTGACATGTCTCGCAATGTGGTAATCTACTGATGTGCAAATAAGGACAAATGTGTCACTTGTCCACACCCTAAGCTCACCACAGACAGAATTATTAAACATTTTTAACTGGAATCCCAAATCAGAGCAATATGTTCTAACTGGCTCGTTAATATTACAGCTTTGCTACAGGAGAAAAAAATGAGCTCACATACAACTACCTTTGAAAGCTTTGACACAAAGCTAATTGTGTTAAAGCTTTTATTAACACTTCAAGTGGTAGTTTCTACCAGTGTTATCCTATAGATGAATAAACTCCAACAGCACCGCAATAAATGTACCGAAAAAGAAACTCCAAAAATAGAGCAAACTAATTAAAAATGTCAATGGGAAAAATCCAACATTAAATTAAAGCTACTCATACATGTCCATGCTCAAGTCCTTTTAGATTATGTAATTTCAAATGTTTGTGTCTGTAAATGTGATGTTCTTTTTCATTAAATTAAAACAATAGGATGCTGTCATGTTTTAGGTGCATAAAGGCTAAAATCAGGTTATTTTAGCACGTTGCTAGGTGGTTGCTAGGCATGCTGACCCCATAATGTCTGATTTAGATAAGAACCTTCAGGGGCCTAAGATGTACCTGTGTGACACATTTGGTTGGCCACGTCTTGATGGTCTAAGAAGAGTTTGCAGCCAAAGAAAGCGTGTGTGTGTGTGTGTGTGTGTGTGTGTGTGTGTGTGTGTGTGTGTGTGTGTGTGTGTGTGTGTGTGTGTGTGTGTGTGTGTGTGTTAGAGCAAAAACAAGGCATTGTGAAGTGAATGGTTGCTTGTAAATTCAAACAGACAAAACAAAACAAAAACAGTAGATATAGTAGATGAAAGACAAAGTTATCTACCATCTTAGCACGCCTTACACTTTAAGTGGCCCTCTCTCGCTAAGGTGTCCTTGTAGAATTAAAAAAAGGTTTCATAAAATATATTCTTCAGAAGCTTTTATTTTTATTTTCAAATGAGATAAGCCACTATCTGTCCAGTACAGGCTGTAAGCTAAATCAAAAAGGAGGTGCACAATGCTACACTATGCAGCACCAGTCTTCTTATATTTACAGATAGAAATGATAACGTGTCATCAGTTGCTGGTAAGATGTACCAGAGGAAGCTCTTTCATCCTTGATCTTGGGCATGTTCCCTCTTCTAATGTCTAATCTGATCGTCCTAACAGCTTGTTTGGAGAAACTGCGCTATTGAGCTGTGTTTTAAAAGCCTCCAAACCCAGGCCTCTTGGATACATCGCCTCATGAACTTACACAAACATACGCCGT